AGAGTCAATCTCTTTCTCTCTTCCTGTTTTTCTTTAGCCCGAACACGTCATTAGTTCACCATTATTTGTATTGGCTTTTTAATAGAATATTCTCTGTTTCTTTTCACATTTGGAATTCCACTGTCTTCTGGTTGCCATGATTTCTGGTAAAAAGTCAGATACCTGTGTTATTTTTGGGTTTTGATCATTTGGCCACAGTGCACTTTTTGTATGAAAATCTGTAAAAAAAAAAAATTTTATTATCCTTCAAGCGGGGGCTCTTCCTTCTCTTTTCCAGGCCAAAGATTGGGACTAATCACCTTAATACCATCAGGGGCTGGGGTGACTGAAGGCTGAGCTGTAGTTTCACAGGCTTTTTAGTCTCTTTTGCACTCGCTGTACAGGTAACTCCGGGGGCTGTAGCTCCAGCGGCATGTTCACCGTGACCCCCTTCCCGGTGCATCCTCAGTGGTGCGCTTTCCTTATCTTGCCCTCCCTGACAGAGTCTGCTTTTCAGACCCCTTCTCCTTGTTTTCTTCACTTTCTTCTTTTCACAGTTTTGAAATTCAGAAAATGTCTGGAGTATAGAGTCCACTTATCTTTCCTTCCTTTCTCTCTGAGATAATGGCTCAGAGGTATTGTAACGATTGACTCACTGATGCACCAACCCAAGAGGATAACTTTCCACAGCCACCTTCTTTCCAGACTTGGAAAGTGGATTTTCACCACATCATATGCAGGGTACACAGGATCGCCATGTGTAATCACTGACCATGTGCACCGATCACCTGGCCGAGTGGCGCTCACCAGATGTATCCCCTGTGCATCTTCTTCCTTTGTCTCCTCCTGTGCTCTTTGGAAGAAAGTCACCAGGTGCAGCCCACAATTGAAGAGTGGGAGCTATGCCCTGCCTCCCTGAGAGAATAACATCTACATAAATCATGTGAAATTCTGCATGGGGGATTTGTCTGGGTTCTCCCATGTAGGTATGTATGTATTTATTCAATCATTTATTTGCATCAGTGTGGCCTCATGGATATTGATTTTTTTTCTTGGGTTATAATCCAATACTACTGTATTCATCTTGCTGCTCACATTTTTGGCTTTGACCATTGTAATATCTTTTAGTTGGCATCTGTTGATATAGCCCCATGATTTTGTGTGTAGGTGGGTGGGTGTGAGGTGACTGGTTAGCATGTCTTAGTTTCTGGAACTGCAAGATTCTCTAGGCTCATCTTGTATATTCCCTGCTGCAGCCTCACAATCTGCCACTCTTCCAAGGAGCCCTGGTTCCTTTAACTGGAGAATGATATGAGAAGCCAAGATCTGGGCACTAAGGGTACTTATTGCTCCTGCAGTGTTGTTGCTCCTAGGACTTCTCAGCTGACACAGCAGGAAATATGTGTGTGTATATCAACTCATGCATGGATGCATATCCATATATATTGAGCTTCTTTTTAATTAACAACATTTATTGAAAACCAAAGCTGAACGTTTTACCATCAGCCTGTTTCTGATAATTCCAAGATATATACTTCCTTGAAATCGCTGCAGGTTATTCTTAGTGATGGTATGCCTACAGATATTTTAAATTATTAGAATAAAAAAAGTAAGAGGTTTACTTCTTATTGCAATTGGTAGATAGATACACATATATAGAAGAGATAACAAAAAGTTTCTGATTTGCTGGGCACAGTGGCTCACACCTGTAATCTTAGCACTTTGGGAGGCCCATAAGGGTGGACCACCTGAGGTCAGGAGTTCGAGACCAGCCTGGCCATCATGGTGAAACCTTGTCCCTACTAAAAATACAAAAAATTAGCCGGGCGTGGTGGCAGGAGCCTGTAATCCCAGCTACTTGAGAGGCTGAGGCAGGAGAATTGCTTGAACCTAGGAGGTGGTGGTCGCAGCGAGCCGAGATCATGCCATTGCACTCCAGCGTGGGTAGCAAGAGTGAAACTCCGTCTCAACAACAACAAAAGAGAAAACAAGTCTCTGATTTTTATTATGCACGGTGGCCTTTGGCTAGTGCAAAGGAAAGGTCAGCTGCAACTGTCCTTGGAGAATAGTTGAGGAAGGCACAAAGACTGCACAGAGACTGTTCAAGACCATCAGTAACCTAACAAAGCACACTGTTGTGCCAGTCAGAAGTCCAAGACACTGGGACTTACTAGGAAGTCCAAGTAAAATGGATGTGTCTGGGATAAAGAGAACATCTCATTTCCCAATGCAATTGAAATGCTACTCTTCATAATGTGCTAAACTGTCTGGGTTACTGCCATGGGTTAAATTGTATTCACCCAGAGATGTTAGAGTCCTAACCCACAGTACCGTGAACATGACCTTATTTGGAAATAGAGCCTGTGAAAATGGTTGAGGTCGTGAAGGCAGGCCTAATCCAATATGACCGGTGTTTCTATAGAAAGAGGAAATGCAGACACAGAGATCGACACCTCCAGGGAGAAGACAATAGAACAGAATTCACTTCTTGCATTCGCTGCACATTAGAAGGACATGGAGAGAATACTACCTGCAAGCCAACGAGAGAGGCCTGGAGCCGATCCTTCCCTCACGGCACTCGGAAGATGCCAGGCCTGCCATCTTGATTTTAGACTTCCAGCCTCCAGAGCTGAGAGACGTTTCTGTCGTTTGAGCCACAGTTGGTAGAACTGCGAAAGCAGCTCCAGGAAACTAATTCAGTGACTAATGTTTTTGAACAGTCTTTGTGCATTTTAAATAAACATATTTAATATATTACATTCAAGTCTCAGAATGTCATAAATAATGTTTTTTGCTATTCATGTTATCCCAACAGAGAAAAGTGGGTCCAGTCAAATAAATGCAGCTGTTTAGGGCTGTGCCCAAAGCATGGCGGGCCACAGTAGCCACAGTGAGAGGATGGCGGGAGGCAATAAGAGACACAGACCACCTCCCAGGACCTGGACTTGGCAATGCACCTGCAGGCTTCACATCTCGTTCTCCTGATTCTGAGGTTTCCCAAAGTGTTTCCATTTCACAGATAAGTTCCCTAGTAGAATTATTTACATAAGCTTGAAAACTTGGCACAATCATGTCCATCCTTTTCAAACTTTACAACGACTTGTGAGAACCAAGTAGACAGTGTTGCAAATGCTTTCGTTTTCTTGGAAAAAAGGGATTATGTAAGTAAGTGTGTTATATTGCTGTAGTCATAATTTTGAGTTAGGAGATTGAGAAACAAGGAATAACATTTGCCTATAAAAAGGCATTTATCTGACAGGGATCCTTTCAAATGCCATCACAGCCCCATGGGTGATCCTCCACATTGTGAAAATGTCAATCACATTTAGCAAGCAATGGTGTTTCATGAATATTCATTAATCAGTGAACTGTTGACACCTGAATTGACGCTGGATATGGCCTGAAAACACGCAACAACACACCCCAGTTGCAGGCAGAGCGTGACTTCTCATGCTTGTGGGCTCCAGCTACCATGCGTCCGTCACGAGCATATGAAATGGGAATTTTTTTTGTTATCCAAAGGACATTTTCCTTACAAGTGTAATTATACAGAAGATCGAATATGGTTGTAAAACTTACTAAAAATATGACTTTAGAGATCGATTATAATTTCTTTAAGAGCCACAGTAACACCTAGCACAAGAATTGCTCAGACTGTTGCCTCAAATATGTTGTCTCCTTCTATTTGTCACTTTTCTGAGCTAGTATTTGCTTGCAATCAATTTCAAAATCCCCTGAGTTAGATGGGTTCAGCTTAACTTTGCATTTCCTTTTGTTTTGAGAACACCAGGAAAGGAGAAGCAGTGACCTTTGGGATGTAAATGCTAGAGCAGTCCTCCCTGCTGCTTGGTAACTCCCTTCAGGCAGCCTTAGACCCCAAAGGTCTGCTGGTGCATTGCAGCCTTTAAGACAGGGAATTACATGACCAAGGTAGGTGCCTCTTAATTGGCAGCAAGCATCCCAAAACATTTCCCTTTGCACTGCCTCTGCAGTTCATTTACATAAATTGTGGTGTTCCATTATTTAACATTGTCATTGTTTAACATTTAAACACAGATCCCATTTCTCACATTTTCCACCATGACACCCATAGAGAATCTTTTGTTTTTCTCCCTTAATCAGGTAACTTTTTCAGGACTTTTCTTGATGTGTCAATAACTCTCTATTTTACAGTAGTATCAAGAATTAAGACTGGGCTTTAAAGATATTTACCATTAATTCTCAAAACTGGCATCTTAATCTATTTACCAATAAAATAAATTATTAGATAATTTTAAGAGCCAACAAATTCTTCATACTAACAAATAATATCAGTAGAAAAGCTGACTCTACCCCCATCTGCACCCCACACCCTGCCAAAGGAAAATCAGTTGTGAAAAAGTAGACCCTAGGAATAATGAAATACCCAAACCAGAAAACAACAACACAAGACATAAGACAAAAAGCAAAACAAAACACATTCACATATATTCATAGGCAGAAGAAGTCTTTCTATTTAATTACAGGATTTTGAATATGCATGTAATAATCACTTCATAAAATCAAATTGGTAGGTAATTATTGCACTCCATCATTGAAAAAGAAACTCAAAGTTAAAGATAAAACTTAGAGTAAATAAAAAGAATTGAAACTCAAAGGACATGTCAAACCAGCTTCTTTTATGTGTGGATTCTCAGTAATATCTGATTCTTCTTGTGCATGGAAATTTGCAGAATTCTCCCCATCAGTAAAATTGGTTTGTGTAAATATGGTCAGTAGTGAGTTAGGTTAAGTTTATAGCTAGGTTTATAGACATTATGCAAACACAGCCTGGATTCAAAAATATGAATTAATTCTAATCATCCCTCTCCCATACCAATTAAAACATTACAACACAGTTTCACTTTGAATCACTTGTTTTGTCTCCAGAATCACTAACGTATCATGGTTACCTGAAAGGCTGGGACATTAAGGATATGACTACATATGGCCTTAGGCCTCGCTGAATTTTGAGAGCTATGCCTCTTTCAGTAAATTCCTACCTGCAGACGTTGTCACGATTTCTGTGGTGTTTCTGAGGCCCATGAAGTCAAACTGATAAAGCCGCCATGATTTCTGGTCAGCCGCCTCCACTGAATTTTTTCTCCATCTATAAATCATTTCTTCTTTGGGATAGCCATCTAAAAATACAGAGCAAACATTAGCGCTTGAAGGTACACATTTATAAATCATTAAAGTGAAAATTATAATTCTGATCAATGAATAGGAGTTAAACTTTTAGGCCACATGTGCTCTCTCAATTTTCCTCCAAGACACAGAAACTCGAAAAATGAATGGCCAAATGCCACCTAATCCCACTGCAGATTTTCACGAACGGCCAGGCGCTCCACCACATAGGCCTGGCCACTGACAACACACAGGGGGTGGTTCATTTCTTTAACCTTGGAGAGCCGCAGCTGCCGTCGGCCTTCAAGGAGTGGAGGTGCTTGTCAATGGCTCCCAGACTCTGAGTCCTCGCCATGCAGATCTAACTACATGGCCCATGCCCTTCCACCCTTCCCCAGAATGTATTCCATCCAGATCTCAGGAAAGAGGAACTCAGTAAGGTAATCACTCCAGGATTCGATAGACCCTTTCTCCTTTCAGCCTCCAGCTTTGATAGGTGAATACTGACCTGCTTCAGGGACCCTTTCTCAGGTGGTTAATTACTCCAGGAAGGGTAAGCCTGGCGGCTTCTGCTGCCTGGGGCTCAGACTGGAGACTGCCTAGACCATGGCATCGGGCAGGGACTCTGTCCCGCCCTGTGGGCGCTGTCACCAGGGCTCCCTGGCTCCCTGAGCCAGAGCTGGATATTTGCCAGATGGCTGCTTTTCTGCCTGCATCTGTACTCCTGAATTCCCCACTTCTGAACCATGCTTGGGATAACACCATCCCCTCTCTGCTGGAGCTCTATGGCCTGGTGCACCTGCCCTCTTTTTCCTGCCTGATCTGCAGGCTCTGCCGCTGTGTCCGCCCCACAGGGCGTGCCCTACTCTCAAGAACAGGTCTAGGCCTTGTGTCATCGGCAACACGCGACAGCATTAGCGTTCTCCGCCTTCACTGATTCATACAGACGCTGATGGCATGACTCTGGAAGAAACGTATGCACCATCTTGATGAGTTATCCTGAATACTAAAAGCCCTGCCTTCGTGCACACATATGTATGCAAACATATTAATAAAGTGGTTGAAATGTGCTGATTAAACATTTAAATCAGTTTGCAAAATTCTTAAAGGCAATCTGCCTTCTTGAGTTTTTTCCCTCTTTGCCTGACGTTGCTGGCTTGGCTCCATCATTGAAAGACGAAAATAAAGCCCAGGCATGTCCCGCTTTCTGATTGTGGGTTGCCCGGTGAAATTATTGTCAACACAGCAGGGACACATGCTCTCCTCGCACTTGAAAATGCTAAGCTCAAGGGACCCAGAGTCAGTCTGAAGCATTTCTGTGAAGGAATCAAACACTATACTTGGCCATTGGCCATGTCCCAATTGCTTTCTATCCCCATTAGGCTGTCATAATTACAAAAGGTGCTCTATGCTATAATTCTTCCTTTTTAACTTTGTTTTTAAATCACCTTTATTTGAGATATAATGCACATACACAAATTCACACATTCAATGTGCCCAAATCAGAGGGTTATCCCATATTCTCTGAATGGTGGAACCATCACCCTAATCTAATTTTAGAATATTTTCGTCACCAAAATTACCAAGTAGTGGTCACTCCCCTTTTCCCCTCTTTTCCTCCCCACACCCACTACCCATCTCGCCTAGTCCTAGGCAGTCACTTATATTGTCTGTCACTACAGTTTGGTCTATTCCGGACATTTTATATAAATGGAATCATATGATATATGAGCTTCTGCAAATAGCTTATTTCACTTAGCATAATGTGTTCAAGGTTCACTCCTATCATAGCACAAATCACTACTTCATTCATTTTTTTTTTTTCTCTTGAGACGGAGTCTCGCTCTGTTGCCCAGGCTGGAGTGCAGTGGCCGATCTCGGCTCACTGCAAGCTCCGCCTCCCGGGTTCACGCCATTCTCCTGCCTCAGCCTCCCAAGTAGCTGGGACTACAGGCACCCACCACCAAACTCAGCTAATTTTTTGTATTTTTAGCTGAGACGCGGTTTCACTGCATTAGCCAGGATGGTCTTGATCTCCTGACCTCGTGATCCACCTGCCTCGGCCTCCCAAAGTGCTGGGATTATAGGCATGAGTCACTGCCCGTGGCCCTCCATTCTTATTTATTGCCAAATAATATTTCATTGTACAGATATACCATACTTTGTTTATCCATTAATCAGTTGGTAGACCTTTTGGCTGAGTCCATTTTTTCATGATTATGAATGTTGTTATGGGCATTTGTGCACAGGATTTTGTGTTGATACATGTTTTCAGTTCTCTTGGTTATACACCTAGGAGTGGAATTGTTGAGTCTGGGTAACTACATTTAACATGTTGAGGAACTGCCAGATTGTCTTCCAATGTGGCTGGAACTTAAAATCCTATAGCAATGTACCAGGGTTTCAATTTCTCCATATCCTCTGCAACACTTGTTAGTTTCTGTCTTTTCACCGATAACAACTGCAGCAGGTGTGACGTGGCATATATCATCATTGTTTGGATTTGTATTTCTCCTATGACTGATAATACTGAGCATATTCTCATGCTTTTATTGGCCATATGTATGTTTTCTTTGGTGAGATGTTTGTTCAGATCTTTCACTGGTTTCTTAATTGGGTGGTTTTTATATTGTTGAGTTTTAAGAGTTATTTGTATATTTTGGGTACAAGTCCTTTATCAGATATATATTTTAAAATATTTTCTCCCTTTCTGTGGTTCATCTTTTCTTTTGCAGCGACTGGAATTTTTTAATTGTAGTAACATATACATAATGTAAAGTGTATCATTTGAATCATTTTTGAGGACACAATTTGGTGGCATAAAGTACATTCACAATGGTGTGCAACCACCACCAGCATCTGTCTCCAGAATTCCTTTCTTTTCTTTTTCTTTTTTTCTTTCTTTTTTTTGAGATGGAGTCTTGCTCTGTCACCCAGGCTGGAGTGCAGTGGCACAATCTCAGCTCACTGCAACCTCCGCCTCCCGGGTTCACGCCATTCTCCTGCCTCAGCCTCCCGAGTAGCTGGGACTACAGGCACCCGCCACCATGCCTGGCTGTTTTTGGTTTTTTTTTTTTTTTTTTTTGGTATTTTTAGTAGAGACGGGGTTTCACCATGTTAGCCGGGATGGTCTTGATCTCCTGACCTCGTGATCTGCCCGCCTTGGCCTTCCAAAGTGCTGGGATTACAGGTGTGAGCCACTGTGCCCGGCTTTGTTTTCTTTTTAATTGAATTTATTTTTGAGTGTACTTCCAGGATCATAGCAAAACTGAGTGGAAAGTTCAGAGATTTCCTGTATACCCCCTGCCCCACACATGCACAGCCTCCCTCATTATCAATATCCTGCTGCAGAATGGTACATTGGTTACAATTGATTAATTATGTCGTTATTACTAAGAGTCCATAGTTTACCTTAGGGTTCACTTTTGGTGTTGTATGTTCTATGGGTTTGGACAAATGTATAAAGACCTGTATCCACAACTACGGTATTGTACAGAGTATCTTTCCTGCCCTACAAATTCCCTGTGCTCCACCTATTCATCCCTCCCTGCCATCCTTCCCCTTAGCAACTACTGATCCTTTTACTGTCTCCACGGTTTTTCTTTTCTAGAGTGTCTTAAGGTTGGACTCATATAGTATGTAGCTATTTCAAGTTTGCTTATTAGTAATGTGCATTTAAGTTTTTCCCTGTCTTCCTGGCTTAATAGCTCATTTCATTTGCTGAATAATATTCCATTATCTAGATGTATCACATTTTATTTATCAATTCACCTACTGAAAGCCATCTTGGTTGCTTCTAAGTTTGGGCATTTATGAATAAAGCTTTGCTACAAACATACAGGTGCAAGTTTTTGTGTGGATGTGACTTGTCTTTTGATTTTTCCTTCTTTGTTTTTGAGGATAATTTTGCTAGGACTATAATTATTTGTTGACAGTCATTTCTTTCAACACTCTGAAGGTGTGATCAAATATTCTTAATGGCTTCCATGATTTCTCATTAGAAATCTGCTGCTAATCATATTGTGATTCACCTGTAAGTAAATATTGCTTTTCTCTTGCTGTTTTCAAAATGTTCTCTTTAACATTGTTAGTTTCACTATGATGTGTATAGATGTCAATCTCATTACGTTCGTTGGGGTTTGTTGACATTCTTAGATGTATAAATGAATTGTTTTTGTCAAATTTTTGGCCACTATTTTTTCAAGTAATTTTGTCCCTGTTTCTCTTCTCTTCTCCTCTGAGATTCCCATTATGTGTTTGTTGGTATTCTTCATGATGTATCACGGGTATATTCATTTCTCTGTATTTTTCTTCATTCATTTTTCATTTTATTCCATTCACTTGATAATCTCCATTGGTTTATCTTCAAGTTTGCTGATCCTTTCTTCTTTATACTCAGATCTGTTATTATGCCGCCCCAGTGATTATTTTTATTGCAGTAATTGTACTTTTCAACTCTAGCATTTCTACTGGGTTCTTTTTCAACAATTTCTACATTTTCACTGATATTGTCTATTTGGTGATATCTAGTTATCATACTTTCCTTTGATTTTTTTTAGGCATGATTTCCTTAAGTTCTTTACACATATTTTTTAAAGTATTTGTCTGACACATCCAATATCTAGAATTCTTCAATGATAATTTCTATTAATAGCTTTTTCCTTTGTGTGTGTCATGCTTTTCTGTTCTTTTAAGGTTTTGTGATTTTTTTGTTGCTTTTAGACAACATATTGGAACAACTCTGATATCAGATACCTTCCTCCACTCCAGAGTTTGTTGTTGTCCCTGTTTCTGTTGTTTCTCTTCTTGCCACTTATTTGCTAAGTGAATCTCCTGGACTAATTTTATAGATTATGTATTTGCTGTCGTAGCCACTGAGTTTTTTGCTGGTTTTTTGGGTTGTTGTTGTTGTTGCTTTTATATTCTTATTTTAATCTTTGAGCCTGGTCTTCTTTGGTTCACGTTGGTTCACTGTAATGTAGTGGTCATCCAATAATCAGCCACAAGGTTTCCT